TGTTTTCATTTTTATTTGTTTCCATAAATTTTATTAATTCTTCTTTAATTTCCCAGTTGACCCATTCATTCTTTCATAGGATGCTTTTTAGCCTCCATGTATTTGAGTTCTTTCCAACTTTCCTCTTGTGATTGTGTTCTAGTTTCAAGGCATTGTGGTCTGAAAATATGCAGGGAATGATCCCAATCTTCTGGTACCAGTTGAGACCTGATTTGTGACCCAGAATGTGATCTATTCTGGAAAATGTTCCATGTGCACTAGACAAGAATATGTATTCTGTTGCTTTGGGATGAAATGTTCTGAATATATCTGTGAAGTCCCTCTGGTCCAGTTTGTCATTTAAAGCCTTTATTTCCTTGTTGATCTTTTGCTTAGATGATCTATCCATTTGAGTGAGGGGCGTGTTAAAATCCCCCACTATTTCTGTATTGTTGTCGATGTGTTTCTTTGATTTTTGTTATTAACTGGCTTATATAATTGGCTGCTCCCATGTTAGGGGCATAGATATTTACAAGTGTAAGATCTTCTTGTTGGATAGACCCTTTAGGGACGATGTAGTGTTCTTCCTCATCTCTTATTATAGTCTTTTGTTTAAAATCTAATGTGTATGTTATAAGGATTGCCAACCCAGCTTTCTTTTGGTGTCCATTAGCATGGTAAATTGTTTTCCACTCCCTCACTTTAAATCTGGAGGTGTCTTTGTATCTAAAATGAGTCTCTTGCAGACAGCATATCAATGGGTCTTTTTTTTTATCCAGTCTGGTACCCTGTGTCTTTTGACTGGGACATTTAGCCCATTTACGTTCAGGGTAACTATTGAAAGATATGAATTTACTGCCATTTTATTGCCTGTAAGGTGACTGTTACTGTATATTGTCTCTGTTCCTTTCTGGTCTATATTACTTTTAGGCTCTTTCTTTGAAAGTACCCCTTTCAATATTTCTTGTAGGACTGGTTTGGTGTTCACAAATTCTCTTAGTTTTTATTTGTCCTGGAAGCTTTTTATCTCCTATTTTCAGTGACAGCCTAGCTGGATATAGTATTCTTGGCTGCATATTTTTCTCATTTAGTGCTCTGAATATATCACTGCCAGTCCTTTCTGGCCTGCCAGGTCTCTGTACATAGGTCTGCTGCCAATCTAATGTTTCTACCATTGTAGGTTACAGACCTTTTGTCCCAAGCTGCTTTCAGGATTTTCTCTTTGTCTGTGAGACTTGAACGTTTTACTCTTAGATGTTGGGGTGTTGACCTATTTTTATTGATTTTGAGAGGGGTTCTCTGTGCTTCTGGGATTTTGATGCCTGTTTCCTTCCCCACATTAGGGGAAGCTATAATTTGCTCCAGTATACCTTCTGCCCTTCTCTCTCTTTCTTCTTTTTCTGGGATCCCAGTTATTCTAATATTGTTTCATCTTATGGTATAACTTATCTCTCGAATTCTTCCCTCATGATCCAGTAGTTGTTTATCTCTCTTTTTCTCAGCTTCTTTATTTTCCATAACTTGGTCTTCTATATCACTAATTCTTTCTTCTGTCTCATTTATCTTAGCAGTTAGAGCCTCCATTTTTGATTGCACCTCATTAGTAGCCTTTTTGATTTTGACTTGTTTAGATTTTAGTTTTTATTTTTATCCAGAAAGGGATTCCCTACTATCTTCTATACATTCTTCAAGCCCAGCTAGTATCTTTAAAATTTCATTCTGAATTCTAGTTCTGACATCTACTAATGTCTGTATTGATTAGGTCCCTGGCAGTCGGTACTACCTCTTGATCTTTGTTTTTTTGAAGTGAGTTTTTCTGTCTTGTCATTTTGTCCAGAGGAGAATAGATGAATGAGAGAACAAAATGCTCAAAAAAATGCTAAAATGGTAACAACGACCCCAGAAAAATATACACTAAACAAATCAGAAGAGACCCGGAACTGGGGCGGGGGGGGCGGGGAAGAAAGGGAGAAAAAAAAAAGAATATGATCAGGCTGGTAAATATAACAGAGCCACACACTAGATTTTGGGTGTATTTTGGTCTGTTACAAGAAATTGCCTCCCAAAATTTTAAAGAATGAAAAACACACAAAAACAAGGGTAAATATGATGAAGGGATAGAATATGACTGTAAAGATGAAAATTAAAAAGGGTTTTAAAAAAAGGAATTGATAAGATAAAAAGTTGGTTGAAAAAAGAATAAAAAAATAAAAAGAGAGAATGTGATCAGGCAGGAGAATAGGACAACGGCATACACTAGTTTTATGGTATATTTTGGTCTGTTAGAAGAAACTGTATCCCAAAATTTTAAAGAAAGAAAAACTTATATATATACAATAAATAAGGTTAAATACAATGAAGAGATCGAATGTGATTGTAAAAATGAAAAATTTAAAAAGATTTTAAAAAAGGAATTGATAAGATGTTGGTTGAAAAAGGAAAGAAGAAAAATTCAACTAAAAAAATAGAAAAAGAAAAATAAAGAAAATTAAAAAAATAACTTTGAAAGACTAAAGAATCATGGGGAAAAAACCATGAATCTATGTGCTGTATTCCCCTAGTGCTGGAGTTCTGCCGTTCTCATTGATCGGTAAACTTGGTCTTGGCTGGCTGTTCTTGCTGATCTTCTGGGGGAGGGGCCTGTTGCCGTGGTTCTCAAATGTCTTTGCTGGAGGCAGAATTGCCCCACCCTTGCCAGGGGCCGGGGTAAGTAATTTGCTCAGGTTTGCTCTCGGGAGCTTTTGTTCCCTGCATGCTTTCCCTACAGCTCTGGAGGATGAGAGTGAAAATGGCAGCCTCCCAGTCTGTGGTCCTGGAGGAGCAAAGAACTCATGGCCCCACTCCTCAGTGCACCCCCAGAGAAAAGCAGTCACTCCCGTCTCCCCGGTCTCTGGCCGCACTCCATGCTCACCCAGCCTGTGACCTAGTGTTTCTATCTCTGGCACACAACCCCATGTGGAGTCTCCAAACCCAGCAGAGTCCTGCGGTGCGTTACCACAACACTCCTTGCATGAGAGGATGGGAGTCTCCCTGGGTCTGCCACTTGTTGGATCCCTGCTGGAAGAGCAGTGGCCCGACTGTGCCACAGATCACAGTTTACGGCAATCCTGAGCTGAGAGCCCACTCCTCGGCTCCATCTCTGCAGCCGGCTTCCCCACTCCAACACCTGGGAGCTCCACCACACTCAGGCACCCCCAGTCTTTCTGTGACCCTGAGGGTCCTGAGACCACACTGTCCCAGCAAGGGTTCCACCCCCAGCTTAGCCACTGGAGTGACGTCCCTCAGCGGAGCAGACTTCTAAAAGTTCTGATTTTGTGCTCTGCTGCTCTATTATTTGCCGGTAGCAGCTGATGGAGGCCCCCTCCCCCGCCATCTGTCTTCCCGAATATCACCTCCGATTCATTTCTCTGCAAGTACATCCTACCTTCTAGAAAGTGGTCGCTTTTCTATTTAGAGAGTTGCTGCTATTCTTTTCTTCGATCTGCTGTTGAGTTTGTAGGTGTTCTGAATGGTTTGAGAATTTTCTAGCTGAATTCCTGGGACCAAACAAAATTTAGATCTCCTACTCCTCTGACATCTTGCTCCTCCCCCATCAATTTAAGTTTTTATTTTAAGTCCAGTTAATTAACATACAGTATAATGTTTCAGTTATACAGTATAGTGATTTAACACTTCCACACAGCACCCAGTGCTCATCACAAGTGCACTCCTTAGTCCCCATCACCTATTTAACCCATCCCCCCACCCACCTCCCCTCTAGTAACCATCAGTTTGTTCTCTATAGTTAAGAGTCTGTTTCTTGGTTTGCCTCCCTCTCTTTTTTCCCCTTTGTTCATTTGTTTTCCTTCTTAAATTCCACTCATGAGTGAAATCATATTGTATTTGGTTTTTCTCTGACTGAATTATTTCACTTAGCATGATACTCTAGCTCCATCCATGTCATTGCAAATGGCAAGATTACGTTCTTTTTTATTGCCGAGTAACATTCCATACCTTCATGGCTAAAAACAACAACCAGCGAGGATATGGAGAAAGAAGAACTGTCTTGTACCGTTGGTGGGAATGCAAACTGGCGCAGCCACTCTAAAAAACAGTATGGAGATTCCTCAAAAAGTTAAAAATAAAACTACCCTATGATCGGCAATTGCACTACTAGGTATTTACCAAAAGAACACAAAAATACTAATTCAAAGGAATACGTGCACCCTGATATTTCTAGCAGCATTATCGACAATAACCAGATTATGGAAACAGCCCAAGTGTCCATCAGCTGATGAATGGATACAAAATATCGCTTCTTTTAAAGAAATCAATATTAAGAGAACCAATGAGATCACCTCCATGTCATAATTAAGATGTTTACAGATTTCTGCATGTAAAGATTAAATGACTAATTTCAAAGTTCTTTTATAATAGTATTTTTTCAAAGGTATATTATTGTAATATGCTACTCAGTGGGAATACATAATTCTATAATTTTAAGTAAAATATATTTATAGTATAGTTTCACTTTTTTTATGCACCCCTATGTACATTGCAGCATCATTCACAATATCAACAGTTTCAAAATTTTAAGGGGGAAAAAAGGTGGGAGCGGGGAGGAGAGGAAGAGAAAAAAAAGTCTTTTAATGACTGTGTGGTCAAATGTCATGGCCTCTTCTGTAATTGTAACCTGACTCCTTTCCCTTCTTACATCCCCTTCAATAGAGTGAGTCCCCAATTCCTTATGGTGCTATTTTGTCCATGTAACATTTCCTTTCAAAATACTGTTTTGTTTACTTGTTATATTTATTGTTTATTTGTGTGTCCACAGTGGAAGTTGAACTCTATAAAGGCAGGATATTTGTCTCTTTTGTGCCCTGATTTATCCCAAACCCCTAGAACAGGACTAGGCACATGAGGGTATTCATGAAATTACTATTGGCTGATGAATTATGAAGAGAGAGCTAATAAAAATTCCTTAGCCGTTATTACTTATATTGTTTTTCCTGAGAAGATATAATTTCTTTAAAATGAGTGTAGTGCTCACTTTGGCAGCACATATACTAAAATTGGAATGGTATAGAGAAGATTAGCATGGCCCCTGCGCAAGGATGACACGTAAAATGAGTGGAAAAAAATCAAACTTGAGAAAGTTTCTCTTTCATCAGGGAAATCAGGCTTGAAAGGGTTGGATAATTGAGCCAATGTCACAGAGCTCAGTGGAGGAATCAGGACTCCCAGTCACCATTACTCACAATACAGTGTTCTTCTCACTAAACTTGGCCACCTATGCTGTTTGTAAGATTGGACATCTGGTTTGTCCAAATCCCTCATAGCTGATCAGAGTTTTATTATGTAAAACCCTTTCACATATAGGATTTGTGCCACATAGTTAGTATTTTCATTTTATAGATAAAGAAACTGAAGGTAGAGAGCTAGTAATTTGACGAACATCACACAGATAGCTGGTAGAAGGCAAAAGTAGGGTTAGAATCCTGGAATCTGATCAAATAGCCTCTTTGTTACTACATATTTTTCTCTTGCAACTGTTAATTTAAAAAAATGTACTGAATACCATTTATGTGCCAAACTCTATTCCACACAGTGGTGAGTAAAAACCGTGTCACTGTTACGGAACTTCTATCCTCAGCCCACAAATCAACACATGATATGTTGAGTGGTAGCAATTCTCTGTATAAAAGTGAGGCAAGGTAAGGGGTGTAGAGAGAGAATGACAGGTTTGGAAGAAGAACTATATTAAATGGATTGCCATCTTTAAATCCTCTTAGATGAAGTGACCTTTGAGTGGAGACCTGAAAGGAATAAGGAAGGAATCTTGGGGAGAAAGAGAATCCCAGGCAAGGAGTACATGGAGATCAGTGACTGGAACAGAGTGAGCAAGAATAGAGTTAAGAGGCGAGATCAATTGTCAGAGCGTAGGACTGCAGAAGGTGGATATAAAGAAGGTTTGATATTTCTCTCAGAAGGATTTTATTTTTTCTTCTATTTTAAAGAATCACTTTGGCTGTATGCTCTGTGGGGAAAAGACTATAGAGACCAAGTCTAGTGGCTTTTGTTCCAGATAAGAGTTGATGGTGCTTTGCACTAAGGTGGTAAATAGTGGTGGTATCAAGGACATATTTCAAAAGATAACCCAATACAGTTGTTGAAGTTTATACATGGGCCCTATTTGGGGCTTGGGTGTCATCTGTAAAAGGGCATCTCATTTCCATAGCATGGCGTTACTTGAGTGAGTGTATGTCCATTCAAAGCTAGTTCTCAAACTTGAAAGCTTAGAAACCTGATGTTTCAGCACAAGATCAATTTCTTGGTTAAGCAAATATTCTGAGATTGATATGTGAAAATGAGAAAGTCAGTGCGTTAACTCTTATAATGAGACCGTCTTATAATATGACTGTCTTGAATAAACTTCTGTTGACTGATAAGCATATTCTTTTCCTATAGACTTATTGCAGGGGATAGCAAATTAGATTCAGAATGTTGCTAGATGAATATGGCATAGCAGAAAAAAATGGAAGTAAATGGATGATTTGTTAACCCAGTCAATCCATCTCCATATAACTAACTCCATAAACGTACACACACTGAAAGAACATATAAATACTCATATTCTTGGTCCAGAATATACAGGTGTCAGAATAGAGCTGGGGACCCAACAGAACGTACCTCTCTTCATATTTCTTAGACCTGACCAAGGACCAAGAAATTCTCTACTCCACTCTGACTAGCATATTCTTCCTTTAAATATGTTAATATGTTTGATCAGAGTTAACTCTAGTTTTGGCCTGAGATCATTTCTCTTTGGTAAAATTGCCAATGAGATCCACTATATTTTTGTTCACTCACAAAAGGCAATGAATTTTACATCTCAGTTTCTAAGCTGTCCCTAGTATACATAACTATTATGAACTATCTTATATAATTGTCCTAAAATTCTGCTCAGTAGTTATTTCCTAAGTTGAGACTGATTGAATTAAAATGAGTATCATTTTCTTTTTAAATCATGTTACCTGGGCACCTGGGTGGCTCAGCTGTTAAGCATCTGCCTTCGGCTCAGGTCATGATCCCGGGGTTCTGGGATCGAGTCCCCTGTCGGGCTCCCTGCTTGGCAGGAAGCCTGCTTCTCCCTCTCCCACTCCCCCTGCTTGTGTTCCTGCTCTCGCTATCTCTGTCTCTGTCAAATAAATAAATAAAACCTTAAAGAAATAAAAAATAAAAAATAAATCATGGTACCTGCTGGTCATGTTGCTGCTGTTACATTTGTAATAATAATACTCAAATAACTTAATTTTCCAGATGTCTCAGTTGAGTCTACCTAAAACTAGACCTTTTTGGATATATGGTAGGCAAGTTTCATGCGCTGTGATTATTAAGCAAAAATTCCTTTGAGTGTTTAATTTTCTTAAAGCTTTTGCCCTAAACCATGTTTCATTTATAATAAGATGCTTGTCTAGTTGTCTATAATATTTATATTTTTTAAGGGATTAAATCTAAACGGATTCTTAGTCTTTGTTATTTTAGCTCTGAAAGAGTGTGTTAGGGAGAAGCATCTCAAGTCTTTCATGTGGTCCTTTGTGCTCGGGGGAGAAATGGTTGAATTTCAGCCCACCCTCCACTAGGGCTGAAAAGATTAAAGAATCAGATGATGATTAGATCCTCTCTTTATGTGTGTTTATGTTATTCATAGTAAATGCTATAGACCTAATCCCTCATTTATTTGTGAGACAACTTTGTGCTTATTAGCTAAAGCTGGGAAAGTATGAGACCCATTTGCCAGCAAATGTCTTAAAGTACAAAACCAGTGGAAGTACCCCACTAAACATATGAAATAAATACTTAAGTAAAATAATGTTTTTTATTTAAAAAAATGTAATCATGCCAAAGAAACAGGTGACAAGTATCCATTTGTGACAAAATGAAATACAGATTTTAAAACGAAAATGTAGGGGGGGTGCCTGGGTGGCTCAGTTGTTAAGTGTCTGCCTTCGGCTCAGGTCATGATTCCAGGGTCCTGGGATCAAGCCCCACATCGGGCTACCTGCTCAGCAGAAAGCCTACTTCATCCTCTCCCACTCCCCCTCCTGTTGTTCCCTCTTTCACTGTGTCTCTCTCTGTCAAATAAATAAATAAAATCTTTAAAAAAATATGCGAAAATATGAAAGGACGTGAAAAGGAAGATATGTGAAAGGAAGATAAGTTGGATTTTCTTCTACATGTTATATGGCAAGAAAATCAGTTTAATCTTAGAATCAGTTTGTGATCATTTTGTTTACTGGCTTTGATATTAGAAACTAAAATTATCTGAGGTAACTACTTAGGGAATTTACTAAGAGGTAAAAAGTGTGCAAATTTTTTATGTGTATATATATATATTATACATATATATGCATATATGTATTATATATATATACATTTTAATTTAAGAAGTATTTTTGGCTGATTTTTTTTTTGTGGGACAGATATATTACTAATATTTACCTTGCAAGAGACTAAAGTTCTCATGCCAATGTTGTAATGCCTTCTTGTAAAAAATATTTTAAAAAAGCCCTAAAGGAATAACCAATAGAACAACTTGAGAAACCTAGAAATTACAAAGCCCTTTCCATATTTGCATCAATGACCTAGTTATTCAGAAATCTTTCTTGTAGTGAGATACCTCACACCACTGAGATTTCAACATAAAATTTCCTGGCCCAATTCTTTCGTGCCATGTCATCTTATTTTCCATTGTCACATGCCCTCAATGTAATTTTTGTTCAGCTTGATGAGCTGGAAGGGATCTTAATTGGGTTGGTGGAGAAAAGCCAAATTCTAGCTTTTGCATTCCACTGAGAACACCTGAGTGGGAAGATCCTGGGGCAGCTCTTGAACTGTAGCTCTTTGAAATGAATTTCATATGATTTCAAGCCTTGATCATCAGTTAGGAAAGAAATGCCATAGCTTATCTACTCAGGGACTCACAGAATTTGCAGAAGTGAAAGGAACACTAATAATATTTTTAAGAGCTATTTTTTGTCTATTGAAATGTAATTAAGTAGAAACTGAGACATCTGCTTATGTAAAATCTTTAAAAATTAGAGACTCTTGGTTTAACTCCCAACATGTAAGGATGTTAGAGGTTGTCACTCTTTCTCTTATGATAAATAAAGCTGGACAAAGCAAAAATCAATTATTTTTCTTGGACCCATCAATGAAGTGAACTTGCAGGACAAATGGCTACCATAAAACCTAAAAAGATAGGTTCATCCAGAGAGACACAGTAGAGATCTGCTTCACTGCAGTTAAAGCCATAAGGTGGCAGGAATGTTTAATTGGTAATATTGTTTAATTGCTGGAGGTTGTGTCAACTAGCTCAGCAGTGATAGACCCCTTGGAACTGAAGTCTTCCGGGAGACCCACACTTTCCTGGGTTTCTATCAGGAACCCCGCCAGGTTTTCAATATGGAGATTGAGTAAAATCCTCCCTTAAAGGGGAGGGGAAAAAGGAACCATTGTGAAATAAATGATTTTCTCCATAACACCACAAGAGGACTATTATCCAGAAGAAAAGACTTTGTTGGAGGCTCATCACTTGGGAATCTCTCACTCAGTGCCTATTCAGGCTTAATGTTTTAGTAAGGAGAAAAAGTAACATTGTTGACAGCATCAGGGTTTCAAGGAAATAGACCAGGAATACTGCAGTCTGAAAGGGAGTAGTGGTCAGGTCGAATAACACCACTTAGGTGGAGAAACACTAATAAAGACTACATGCCTATGATATAAACACACTGAAAGACTGAGATTTAATTGTAATATTATACAGCCTTTTCCTCTACAACATTGCACCACTCTAACAGCTTGAATCCAGTATAAGAAAAGCAGACTGCAACTGAAAGAGAGGCAAGGCACAGACTCTCATAAAAGAAAACCCAAAATCAAAAAAAAAGAAAAAAAAAGGAAATAAAAATAAGACCACTAGAGGAATTTGAAGTCTCTGACACTTATACCTATAACAAATTTTATTTTAGCCTGACTTCTAGCAGTATTGACATAAATTATCCCACTAAAAGTGAAATTATTTGTTTCTATCTTTCTGTTACATGTCCAGTTTTCAACAAATTTCCAACAATGTAAAAGGTAAAATCAC